TATATATATACACACACATACATACGCACAACACACACACACACATATACACACACTCATTGCAGCTGTTTTTCATTTTTCATATATATATATATATATATATATATATATATATATATATATATATATATGTGTGTGTGTGTGTGTGTGTGTGTGTGTGTGTGTGTGTATGTGTGTGTGTATGTATATTGATATACATATATATATATATATATATATATATTCATGTGTTTATATATATGTATATTGTGGTATATCAGAAAGCAGTGTGGTAGGCGTGGTAAAGTTCTTTAACCATATACTTGTAAAAGATTGAATAAAGATGTTGTTCAAGATTGTTCAGGTCATCAACAAATATTTTTTACATTTAATTTAATTGTTCACAATCTTACATCTTTTTTTAGTATCTTTTAATTGTCCTCATTTTATAAGATTTATTATTTCTTTGTTAATATTAGGTATTAATTATTTATCTTTTCATATCAGTATGATTTTCTAGGAGGCTCCAGGTTACATTTATAAGTAGTCTGGTATGGTGATAAAAAGAAAGAAAATACAGTCAAGATAAGTATGTATTTATAAGGAACTCATCTCAAATCAGGAAATATATACATGTAAATGAGATTTCCCCCACATGCTTACAATAACTGTCGCGGGACAGGACAGGACTCGGCAACAGTTGAGGAAGTAGTTATGGTCGCCTTGCCGCGTCTTGGCAGAACGAGGGGTATATATCCGGGTAATTCCCGCCACTTCCAAGACGGCATAGACTCGTTTGCAGACTTGAATTGGCGGACTGCGTCTTGAGCATATAACTGCGCTCGTTCCTGCGTTCACTACTATATATATATATATATATATATATATATATATATATATACGTATATGTGTGTGTGTGTGTGTGTGTGTGTGTGTGTGTGTGTGTGTGTGTGTGTGTGTGTGTGTGTGTGTGTGTGTGTTTGTATGTACAAAAAACGGAAACATTTATAGTAATAACTGTAATGAGATGACGATGATTTGATAGCAATAAAGATAATGAGAATAACCATCATCATTATGACAGCAATTTCAAAAAAACAATATTGACAATAATAACAATAGTAGTTAAAGTTATAATGATAATAATGATGATAGTGATATTGACAACATAATGATAGTTGTAGTAGTAGTAGCGGGAATACTGATGATAATAATAACAATTATAATAATGATAATAATAATAATGACAATAATGATAATGATGACTGATGATGTTGATGATAATGATAATTATAATAATAATAGCAAAATAATAATACCGATAATGATAATAATAGTAGTGGTAATGATATTAATAAGAATAATAGTAGTAATAATAATGGTTATAATAATAGTGATATTGATAACATTAATGATAATGACGGGAATAATGATAACAATGATGATATTGAAAATGATAATGATAATGATGATGATAATGATAATAATAATAATGATGATAATAATAATGATGATGATAATGATAATAATAATAATGATAATAATAACAATAATAATAATAATAATAATAAGAAGAAGAACAATAATAATAATAACAATAGCAATAATGATAATAACAACAACAACAGTAACAATAATAATGACAATGATTATACTAACAATGACAATAATGATAATAGTGACAATGATAAAACAATAATGATAATGATGATGAAAATAGTAACAATGATAATGTTGATGATCATAATTACAATAATAATGATAAGATAATAGTAATGAGGAGGAGGAGGATAATAACATTAAGAATGATATAATACCAACAGCAACTGTCAACAATAGGATTAAACACAACAACACCTTCACTTAAAAATAATAACAATAGTAATTACTACATCAAAGATTACAGCAAAACAGTAAGCATGATAAAAATATGTAAACTATAATGACAATGACAATAACATAAATAAAAGGTATATCCATAAGATTAGGATTTGTATGAAGGGATAATAGCATATTGATCATTTCAGTAATGATAAAATTATGGTAGAAGATTACAAGATAATACAAACTCTTGTTGGTTTTGTGTAGTTTGATAACCTTACACGAAAGAAAAAGTTTTGAAAAATAAGGACACCCAAACGCATAGTGAAACAACCTTTTTCTATTTTTGGATCCTCTTTGGCATCTCTTGAAGGTGGCAGTAAAGAAGTCTAAATATAAACCGCACATGAACGGACATTTCATTTAGAAAAGTATGAATAACCATGCATTTATAAGAATATGTTTTGAAGAAGTATAATAACATGTATAATAAAATGCTTACCGGGTCAAAAGCTCACGCAATACATTATCGAATAAAAATATACGTGAATTATACCAAAAATATCAACTAAGGAGAAAATAGACATACATAGAATTTGGAAACTAATGATAAAAATATCTAAAAAAAAGTACGTCAAAATCAATAGTAACTTTATGTTATCCCAACTAGCCAGTGTTGTTATCATAAGCGACGAAAACAACAGCTGATCGATTCAAAACAAAGATGGCGGCTCATCTCCGACGATTCTGTCAAAACTCCACACTTTTCAGTAGATATTCCCATTCTACGAGGGGTTTAAGGACAATTGCTTATAAGACATACAACCCGAAGAGTCCAAGGTTTTATCTGTATGGCACAGCGGTCGCAACGTCACTTTACTTTGGTTGGAAATGGGTTGAGAAGAATGCAATGGTCGAAGCAGCTCGGCCGACCCGACGTGTGGTAAGTGGAATAATTTAGAATATTTGACTTGGTTTTGTTTTGCTATCATGTATCAGTTGTGTTTGTATTTCTTCGTGTGTTCATTTATTATTTACGGTTTGTTTTAAGATTATATAGTTGCTTATAATTATTTGAAGATTCTGTAGTTGCTTATAATTAAATTTGTTGATAGATTGATAGTTCTTATTCCTGTATTTGTAATGTATATTCATATTTATGCTCTATGCTGCATTCATGTTTGTTGCTTATCATCATGTATTATTTATGTAAATTATTAGCAGTGATATTGTTTGGTAAAGTTTGTTGGCATTGTCCTATCTGATGACATCAGTTATGGGAGCAGATTTATAAAGAAACACTAGCAGCTAATTTCATAATAGAGATGCTCATGATTTATAAGCTTCAATCAAGTAAAGGTAGATGAACACAACAATATAAATTATTCTTTGCATTTTAGTTCTCATAGCAGGTAAAGGTGCAGAGGATGTAGAGGAAACTCGTGGATTATATATGTAGACGTAGTTTTGAATTTTAAGATTTTGAAGTAATGATTATTTTATTGTCAGATGTATGTCTTGTACAAGTATGTAGAATTCATATTTCTTGAACTAAAGTATGGTTCTTTACCCTTGTGGCATCTATCCTCTAGTTTTGTAATTCTGGTAAGAGAGTGGCAAATATTTTATTGTGTATAGTCTTCTGCTTTCCAAATGTACTTCGTGTGTTCATTTTATATTAGAATTAGGACAACAAAGTATAAACTAAATTGGGAAAAGACATGACTAATTAATCACAACAAGGGATAGTATAGTATATATATATATATATATATATATATATATATATATATATATATATATATATATATATATATATATATATATATATATATATCATACCACCAACTAAATCTCATTTGAAATAAATTGATTGTTGGTTATTATATGTTAACTAGGCAATCATTAACCTAAGTTGTGTGCACTATATGTGTTTGTTTGGTGATGCCTCACTCTAAAGTAGGCTTAATATGGCTCTTTTTAAGCTCTTGCATTTCATAGTATTTTATATATTCTGCAGTCCTTAAAGTATTACCTCATTTTTGTATGGCTGTCATTTACAGATTATTGCATTACCTTAGTTTTTCTCTCTACGTTTCTCTCTCCTTCCTTCAAGATGTTCCAAGGTTTGAGCTTCCCTTGCAATTGTTTATCAAGTAAGAAACTAGTCCAAGCTATTTCTTATGAAACTATAGGCTAGAATATATATGGTGGTTGTTTGTTGCCTTTCTCCAAGAGCATCAAGATGTGGGGAAGGCAGATTTTTTGGAAACGCTATCACTAATACATAATATTCATAATGTTTGATAATACCATTATTTACATGTTGTAACAGAAAGTATGTGAAAATCAAACAAATTAAAGAAAATCAATAACTAGGCTTTCTCCAAATTTCACCAATGTATGCTTGCTACAATTACAAGTGTACGTACCAGTAAAACTACAAGATTTTCAGGATGTATCATTTGGTCAATATCTTCCCCATGCAATGTGTGAAAGTGTTTGGGAGTCTGAACTAGTTTTTCTTTTTTTTTGGGGGGGGGGAATAGAAAATATTAACACATTAACCGTAGTAGTAAAAATGACTTGTGGTCCAGTAATACAGGTTTATTGCCACTTATTGACGGTTTCCCCCATTTGCACTAGACGTGTTCCACCATAGCCATTGTATGATTTAATGCCTTCTACAAACAAAGAGTAAAGGAGACTTAATAGTAATTAAGAGAAATGTAAGAAATGTTTCAAATTTCTGTAATAGCTGTACCAATCATACAGACAAATATAGTACGAGCCAAATATGGCTATTTCTTTACTGAATCTTCATGAACCACTTGAAAATTAAATGGAAGTCATTTTGAGACAATGTTCATGATATGTGATGCTGTAGTCAGTAAAGCTATAAGAATTGCAGATAATTGAGAATATATACAATACATATCAAATCAATAATTTAATTAGTAATGCATAGATATGCAATTTATTTATAGCAAAGTCATGTTACTTATCACTTTTGGATACCATACATGTATTTTTTTCTTTTCTTTTTTATTGAGGAGAGGGAGCCAGTTTCCAGAAAGTCTTTTCCTACTTTTCACAGCTTGACCCGTTCAGGAATTCGAGAAGCATCTATTAGATTGATTATGATAAATGTGAAAATGTATGCCATTGGGATCACTTATGCATTATCATGGCCAAAATGATTTTGTTCAATTACATAGACTAGATTTTTAAAAATTCTCAATAGATTATTTTTAATCCTTATATTTCAGGTTTCAGCATCATTGTTTTGTTGGTTCATGACTTTCTAGAGTATTTTTATACTATATTACAACATTTGTTAATGTATAGGCCTATATTAGTTATCATATATGAATATAATTTTATTAGATCTTATCAGCTTTAAAGACCCAAGTTTTCAGGTAAAATATGACCAAGTTCTTACACTTGAAAAATAAATCTATATGTTAGGGAAGAAATATTGGTTGTCATGATATTGTGGCTTTGAGCTCTTATCAGAGTAGGATATCACCTTTTACTTAAGTTACATTACAAAAATCTCTGTGAGGATACAAGGTGAAATTGACGTTGGGATCAGAAAGTGCTTTTACTACATCATGACAGGATTTTTATATTCATCTTCACATGTGTAATTATAGCAGAGAGTCACATTTCTGTTCTAATATGTTTGTAATACCATAGATGACAGGAGCGTCATTTGGGAGGGGGGGGGAAGGCTATGGGATGGCAATCCTCTCCCAGATATCTGATTACCCACCCCTCCCTCAAGGTCTGGCTTGCCCTGCCCAAGGGCCACATTTCCATGAAGTTTTTGCCTAAATTATGCTTTTATAGGTGTGGGTCATACATAAAAATGCTCCTAGAATTTTTTTTTTTTTTATTTCTCTAGGGGGCTCATAGCTCCCACGAAATGATGGTGCTCACTTCACTTGCCAACCTTGCCCCCCACCCTCTCTAAGAAAAAGTTGAAATAACATCCCTGGATGCATAAAATTGATTACCAACTAGGTTTTGATAACTGGAGGAAGTTTATGACATGTTTTACATTCAAAGCTTGAATATGTGAAACTATTTGTCTTGTACCGAGATGTAAAATTTACTATTACAGTAAAGAGTAATCTGGGATCTAACTGTTCTTGTCTCTGTTATTCTCGATCTGGCAGATTTAGGTCCTTTGCAGTGGGAGGAACTAAGTTTTGTCTGCATGTGGTAGAAGCATATTTGTTTGATTAGATAGTTGATTAGAAAGGTAATACCTTTTCTTTTCATATTGTTGTTCTCCTTCAATTTTTTTCCAATATGTATTGTCTTCACCTATTTTTTCTATTTATCCTTGTTTTCTACTTGATGCTAGAGAAATAAAAACTTTCAATATTGCCGGATGCATGAAGAGAAATCATTAAATTCAGATAATCTAATATATATTCTCGTATGTAGAGTTTGGTGCACCAATCATAATGATAATGATAATGATAAAAATCATATTCTTTATTTCAGCCTCAGCCATAGATAGATAGATAGATAGATAGATAGATAGATAGATAGATAGATAGATAGATAGATAGATAGATAGATAGATAGATAGATAGATAGATAGATAGATAGATAGATAGATAAAAGAGTAATAAAATATGAGCATAAAAAAATATGCAGTATAGAAAAAACATCTTCAGAACATAGATATAATATATATAGCAGGTAACAGTGTAAACAGTAAAATAAGTATATGTACAGTAAAATCATAATTTTGATAAGAACACAACATGACAGGAAGGAATGATTCAATTAATGAGATTGTTTATGAAATGATAAGATAAATTTGCTTATCAGCTTAAGCAAGTCGGTGATTATGATTAAAAAAACAACTAGCAAGGATGCGAGCAACCTTAGGAAGAAAGTTTCATTCCTCTCTTTCTGTCTTCCTTCTCTCATTCTCTGTTATTTGCTTTCTTTCTTCTTTTTCTCTCTCCTGTCTCATTCTCTCTTATTTACTTTCTTTCTTCTTTTTCTTGCATCTATTCTTCTTCTTCTCTCTCTCTCTCTCTCTCTCTCTCTCTCTCTCTCTCTCTCTCTCTCTCTCTCTCTCTCTCTCTCTCTCTCTCTCTCTCTCTCTCTCTCTCTCTCTTCTCTCTCTCTCTCTCTCTCTCTCTCTCTCTGTCACTCTCTGTCTCTCTGTCACTCTCACTCTCTTTCTCTCTCTCACTTTCTCACTCTCTTTCACTCTCACTCTCTCTCTCTCACTCTCTCTTCTCTCTCACTCTCTTTCTCTCTCACTTTCTCACTCTCTTTCTCTCTCACTTTCTCTTTCCCTCTCTCTCCTCTCCTCCCTTTTTCTATCTCTCTCTCTCTTCTCTCTTCTCTCTCCTCTCTCTCCTCTCTCTCCTCTCTCTCTCTCTCTCTCTCTCTCTCTCTCTCTCTCTCTCTCTCTCTCTCTCTCTCTCTCTCTCTCTCTCTCTCTCTCTCTCTCTCTATCTATCTATCTATCTATCTCTCTATCCATCTGTCTATCTGTCTGTCTATATCCCTCCTTCCCTTCACCTCCCCCCCCTCTCCCTCACCCTCTCAATCTCCCCCTTTCACCCCCCGCCTCTTCCGAAGAAGAAAATGGCATGTATATCTGTCTTCATAATAGATAAAATCTACGCGTGTGCAATTCCTGTATTGGTCAAGCCCCTCGCATTGCAAACAGCTCTCTGCAAAAATTCAACAACGGCGTCCCATCCTAATAGCAACACGTCACACCCGAAGCCGAAGTCGTGGCCGATGCGTGAGTTGGCTAACTTCTTTCCCTCGAACAGAAAATCCTTTTTTTCTCGTTCCATCTCTCCCTCCTTCGTCTTTTTCTACGTCTATTGTTTTTTTTCTTCTTCTTCTTCGGGTTCTACGTCGTCCTCTTCTGCGTCGTTGTCATCATCATCCATCTTA